AAAGATGCTCTTCTGATAATTGCTCTTGTATCCTGACCATTTAATGGTATAACTTAAGTACTTAACCAAAACAGTCAAGGTTCCTTCCGGAAATTTTGGCTGTCTAACCAAAATTGGTTTGATATATAGAACCATAGAAACTAAGGCCATGTTTGGGAGTGTTTTATGTTAAAAATAAGTGTTTATCCAAATAAGTACTTATTTGTATTTGGCATTCAGCTTTTTCAAATGCTTATTTTAAAAAATAAGCAATTTTTTCATCTTGGACGTTTGGTGGTCTTTTTCTCCAATAAGCAGTTAAATACTTTGATAGAAGTATTTCATAAAAGTGCTTTTATAAACATAAAAGTGTTTTTATAAAAGTACTTTCATAAAAGTACTTTTATAAAACTACATTCATGTAAAAATGCTTTCATAAAAGTACTTTTCATAAAATTACTTTTATAAAAGTGCCTTTGTAAAATTGCTTTTGTAAAAGGATATAATTGGTATTCTAAAAATTTATCATGGATCATTTTGGGAGTAAAATTTTGAATAAGTGCTTATTGTATGATAACTTAATAAAAAAGCTAGAAATTTGGGCTTAAAAAATAAGCACTTATTTCCCAAACACCAATAAGTGCTTAATGGTGTGGTCCCTACCCAAATAAACACTTATTTTTAAGCACTCCCAAACATGGCCTAAGAGAGAATCATAAAGTTGAGGGAAAATAGAATGACTAAAAACTTGGGTTGTTCTTTTCATGGTTGTGAATGGTCTCAAAACATGGGGTGACCTTGATTAACTAGGCTTATTGTGGATTGGGATTTTGTTTAAGTTACTGAATTTCATTCATGCCAACATCTTACATGGTTTTTATCATTAGGGATGCAACAGATCGGATTGGATCCAATCTGACATTGTTCATGTTGGATCCGATCCGATCCGAAAATCCAATCAAATCTAATAGGACTCAAATTGAATTCGAATCCTATCAGTAAGTCAGATTTTCAAATCTGATTTGATTCGACTTGTTTTCTTTAAAAATTAATAAATTATTAAAAGAAAAATAAAATATACTAATTTAAATAAAGTAAAAACAAAAAATACAAGTATTTTTTAATTATTTTCATCATATATATACATGTTTTTATAAAAAAAAATAATATAACAAATTTATAAAAATATATTTATAAATAAATAACATATATATGTATTATATATTTATATTTATATCAGATCGGATCTTCTCGGATTAGATAGGGGTGATCTGAATTCGACCAAATAGGATAAGATCGGATCATGATCCAATCCATTTGCACCCCTATGTAACATGCAAGCATACACGGCTAGCTAATTTTTAAAATGGTTGTTATGTCGGCATTTCAGCGTAAGGTTGTATTTGAATATGGTGTAAATATTGAACCAGAGGAGTTCTGCACCATGGAGCTCTGCACTCATTGGTTTAAAAAATGTGGCGATTATCAATGTAAAGACTTACATTGTTTTTATGAAAGATAAATCTCCTTCGATTATCAATGTAAAACTAAACCTGCGAGGAGTTTTACATCAATTTTCAATTATCATTTATGTTTCATCTAAATGGCTACAAAACTGGACTGAAATATAAAACTCCTCCAATCAACTCCAACATGGCTACTTTTTAATATGGCTCAAATGCAAATAAACACCATGATGCCAAATACTATCTTAGACATTGACCAACTTAACCATTAATACAAGGGCTAGATACTTAGCTGGGTTTTCTGAAGTTGATTAATTGTATTTCATATGGCCAAAACTGACCACTAGTTAGAAACCACCAAGTGGCAACATGATGGGGGCCAAAGTTGTCAATTGACGAGATGACCTAGTCCTAATGAGATACGAGCTGACCTGGTCCTGACGAGCTACAAGATGATCTGGTCCTAACAAATTGATCTGACACCAACTCATAACATGCATAAGCAACACGTGGCTGAATTGATTAGAACATCAATGCCAGCGCACTTCATGTAGGTCCACTGCCTACTACATGCACACAACGTGTCAACTGAAGACGCAACAAGTGGACTGAGCTCCAACCACGTATGAGAGACATGTCAGTTCTTGGATGAAGCCCTCTCCTATAAATAGGTGAGTACCCCATTCATTTGGGCACAATTGAACATGGTAGTACGCTATTATGAACAAAGCCCGTCGAACACCTTGGCACATGGAGCTCTCCAGCTCATCCATACGAGCTTTCCAGCTCATCACATGGAGTTCACCAACTCCCCCTATGAGCTCTTCAGCTCTCCTTACGAGCTCACTAGCTCTCCTCACGAGATCTCACCTCATTTCACTAAGCTCTCCAGCTCACCTTATTTTCCCTTGGCATTACTAACTTAACCGTTGGAGTCTGCACCTCTGGGATCACCGGGGCCTCTGACATCTCTTATGGTTGTAGGCCTCTCTTAATGATCAAGGTGCTGAGCCGAGGTGACACTCCGAGACCAGGTGACACCCTAGTCCAACAACTTTCCATCCTTGCCCTTGTGGTCAATTTTGATCTTCATCAATATCCATAATGTTTGAAAAATGAATTTTAGTACCTCAAGTTCTCTCACAATAGATTAAATACCTCCCATCCACTAATTTTTCATTACATTCCCTTCACATGTAACTATTATAATATTTTGAAAACCCAACTTTACAAAATCAACTTCAGTGCTCACAAGACCGTGTTCACAACTTTTTACAGCCTTGCATTGGAAATATCTCTCCATGAAAAAAAAGTATATAAGTACAAAAGTATTCTCAATGCAAAGGCTGTGCGAACACAAACAGTGTGAGCACAATCTTGTGAGCACTGAAGTCGATCTCCAACCTTACCCTCAATATCTTCTTCACCATCATCAACCACCAAAATTCTTCTCTATTATCACCAACATTCGTTTATTCTCCAGCAATGAATAATAAGAACATAATTTTTTTTTTCATATGGAAAAACCTATTTGATATTGTTGTTCCACCGTGTCTGGTTAGTGTTTTTGCTTCTGTTTTCTCTGTAGTCCAGTTGTCTTGGTCTTAGTTTTGTTATAATAATACTAAAAAAAACTATTTGATATAGGGTAAAACCTAATAACATTTCCGAAGACCATTAAGTGTTAACAAATAACATTTTATTATTTGCATTTTGTTTAAAGATTTTCAAAGATGAGATAGGATCATAGGATCAATTGCATCGAGGGCAGCAATTAAACACCACCACCGTCCGTTGACACCGTTCCAATTCCAAGTTGTTTAGTTCTTCTTCTTCTTCTTCTTCTTCTCTCTCTCCATAACCTTTTATTCTCCTCCCTCCTTTCCCTTCTTCCATTTCACCTTTCATGGTCTCGGTTCCACCTTCTCATCACCGCCCCCTGTTTTTGGCTAACATTGCAGCAAATGTAGAGTCGTTTCAGTTTGTCATCATCAAACCCGAATCCCTTGTGTTGGGTGTCTCAAGGGCACCATTGACCCCTGTAGCTGAGATCGGATTCAGTGCACACAAGACCGTGCCTACACCATTCTTAATGCCTTTACAGGCTTGCACTGGAAATATCTCTGCACTCGTATGTTTTTTCATGGAGAGATATTCCCAATGCAAGGCTGCTTTTCCCAATGGCCGTACTCACAAGTTTGATTGAGAATGTCATTGGCTACAGCCCTATTTGAACTAGGGAGGAATAATGGTTCACCCAGGGTCAGAATTTTTAGGCCCGAAGTAATTGGGGTAAGTGCCAGCTCGGAATCAATGCCAATTCATGGGCTGTGTATATAGTGGGGGGGTTTGACATTTTGAATATTTATAGATCTGCAAGGTATATATAGTGGGGGGTTTTGACATTTTGAATATTTGAACCCACTCTATCAAAGAATCAAACCTAACCTGTCATAATTCCCTCCCTCACTTCTGGTAATTGTCTGTATCTATAAGGAGAATGTTGTGATGCCTCCATGAGTTAGACTGGTTGGACGTCCTTTTGTCCTGGTAATAGCTTTACTTATAATATCATATTTGGGATTCAAGGCAACATAAAAAGGGGAGTTTCCTCCATGTTTTTCCAGGGTTAGCTAGTGCTACCACGTCAGAGGTGACCATGGGTTGATGTTTTGATCAATGTTTGGTTTTTTCAGATGAATGCCATATGGGGTTATTTACTAATCTGATTCAACTCGCTTGGTATACAGCAAAACAGATGATGTTCATGCTGTGCGTAATCATGGTTGTTCCTTTTGCTCTAGGCAGCATTCAAAAGCATGAACATTTAACACTCCTTTATCTTCAACTCAAACCCAAGCCATGGGCATTCAAACGCATTTAATAAAAAAATCATTCATCTCTCTCCGGCAGCTAGTTCTTCCTGGGACGATACACCGGGGGTGAGGAGGTAGCCAACCCCCCAAACCACACATTGTGGAGGACGGATTGAATTCCAAGTCTCCGCTACAACCAATTCTAGACCTTATCAATAGACATCTCAATCATTCCTTGATAGTTCCTATTTTAAGACTTGGGGTCCTTAAGTCATCTTTCAAACATTAGAGGTTCAATTAGTTAAAAGTTATAACCCCAGGGTAAAGTATTTAACCCTTAATAAAAACAATCCAATGTCAAGTGTGGTAGGAAACTGGGCTGCAAAATTATCTGCTTTCTGTGAAGAGAGATAAAAGGAAATTTTGAAAGCCTTCTCCAGCTCTGCTTCATCTAAACAGAAACCAAAATGCAAAATTATCTGCTTTCTGTGAAGAGAGATGATCACCAATACTAGAAGTGTCCCTGCAATGCATAAACCAGCCCAACAGCCCTTGGCTTCCAGATGCCCAGGATATTAGATTGAGTCTGGAAAGTTTGGCATTGGTGAATAAAATTGTGGCTCAATACAACAATGGAACAATGCCATGCCTTACCAGCAAGGCACTAGAACACTAGCCCAATACAAGAAGCCCAAGATAGGAATTATAAACTTCACTCATGTTCTGAAATGCCACTGAATTGAACTGAACCTGTATCGTAATGCTCTATAGATGAATTTCAAGCTGAAAATTTCACTTATAGCAAGAGGTTAAACATAGACAACTTCTCAAAAAAAATCCCTACATAGCACAGTAAGCATAAATCTAAGAAGATCCCACATCAAAATGCCAGCAACTGTAGTGGCTTCCAGTATCCAAAAACAAAATAAAATGGCTGAAAAAAATCACAACTAGAACAATCATCCTACTCCTAACAAACTCCCCACGCTTCAAGTTTACTTCTCTGATGAGTTTGGCCCCCTCTTCTTTCCAAAACCGACAACTGCAAACAAGAAAAAACAAGCATGGATTCAGATCTTCGAGATAGAATTATAACTTTAATCCCAAATTCCAAAAATAAATGCATTGAATTCCCAGATGGGGTAGGTCTCTGCCTGCGTTCCTTAACAAATTACTTCTAGAACTGTCAACCGTTCATGTCTCTTGAATTAAGATACAATTCTGATGAAGTACATTACTGATTTTTTCTAATAGCATGTGCATCAAGTGTCTACCTTGTCCACTGGGAAAGATTATACCAATGTAATGATGTATTAACAAAATAAACTAACATGAAGGCACATATGAATGCTAGCGTGCTAGCACAGCATCCTCTCAACTAAAGATAATCGCTTCGAAGAACTAGTGGCATAAATCACGGAACATCTACTAATTGCAAATTGTTCCATATGTGCGCTATATATCTAACGAAAAAAGTCTAATCGATCATGAGGCGGGGGAGGGAAAAGGGGAGAACTTACCGGCGGTAACGAATCGCCGGTTGTACTGCATGCGCTTGTAAGACCTGCCTCTGGGCTTTTTCTTCTTGTCTTGCTTTGCCACCTTGGGCGTTTGGCCTCTCACTTTACCAGCACGAGCCAGAGATCCGTGAACCTTACCTGCAAAATACCCTCAAAACTCTTAGCCAGTTTATCGGATTCAATAAAAGACGGGGGAGTAAACGCAGAAATAGAATCACAAAGGGGGATTCTTCAATGGTTTGGAATGATAATCAGAATGAGATCTGGAGAAGAGACATAGCGCTCACCCATGTTGGATTGTTAGGATTTCTGGTTGCTTCTCTCCCTCCTCCAAGCTGGATCGGCGAAATAGTTGAAGAGACCACTGAGGGAATGGAGTTTTTAGGGTTAGGGTTTTGTAGAGTTTATATTGACGTGATTTCCATGGCTCCCTCGTGTTTTATATACGAAAATAACGGTTCGCTATCGTCTATGATTGCAGAGGTAGACCCATCACTGGGCCGGGTCTATCCGGTAGAACCGAACCATACCAATTATACCGGTCTTAGATGCTTTTTATATACCAATCATAATTGGATCTGTCCTGGTTTTCATTTCCGTCTCAATTGCAATTATACTTTGATCGGCACCAATCACTTGGTGTGATATGGGTGATTGGGTGTTGCCCGGAAATTTCCGGGCTTCGGTCTCTCTCACACACACACACACACATATATATATATATATATATATATATATATAAAATTCAGTCCAAGCAGGCCCATGGTCACTATCATGATAGGATATTTGACTCATTGTAGCAAAGACCTAGGATCAAATCCATGGTTTTCAAAATTGGACCGAACTGGATGGTTGGACTGGAAAAACTAGGAACCGGTCATTTGATCGGTTCCATTTTTCCCCTAAATCGCTTTTTTCCCCAAAATCATTGATTTTGGTCAGTAAATCGCTGAACCGACCGATTAATCGTTCAAACGGTTTTGACCGTTTTTCAATTTTTCAATTTTTTAATTTTTTAATTTTTTTTTATTTTTATCAAAATGAGCCAAATCAACCCATTTGACCCGATAATTGGACCCCTGACTGATTCGATCACCTGGTCGGTTTTAAAAACCATGATCAAATCAAATGCACTTGGGAGGTGTTAAGGGGATGGGCTACCATAAACCAACTTGATTAAGATCTGAACGCATTATGTACCCAACGAGATGAAAGTGGAAGGGTATATAGGAAATCAAGGTCATTGGAGAAAAAACACTGAAGCCTTTTATGGAGTCTAAATGTAGATCCCATAATAAAATATTTCGTATGGAAGTTGATGGAGCACGAACTGGATGCTCCCTTCTAGAGGATGACCTGGAGCTTCATTGTGTGACGAGCTGGTTGTCTTGCAAAACAGTGAACTCAGAGAACCCGGGATGGCTAAACCGGCGAGGTCGTTTCGATGCTTAAGTTAGTATTCTTGTGGTATATTGCAAGCTAAAAATGAGCTAGATTGCTAGTGTGCATATGATATTATGCGTACCTCCCCGTGTCATTTGGGTTGGTGCCTTTATATAAGCTTTGTTTGGCGTGGGCTTCACGCACCGTATCCAAGATTTCCGGGAGGTCACCTAACCGGTCTAAGATCCCCGGAGGTAACCGCAATGCACGTTGACCATCCTCTGGAACACTCAGTACATGGGCCAACTTTTGAGAAACTTGGGAGTGTCGGGATATGCATACCGAATTTGTCGTCACCTCTTGGACCTCAGTCAGGTCGGCAAGCCCTCGAGGGAGATCGCTCCTCGTGTTAAAAGTCACATCGACCAGTGACGAGGTGCTACAGGTCAGCCCTAGATGAGGTGCTCCTAGCCGACCTAAGTTGTGGTTGAAGTCGCTAGGTCGGAGCCAAGATGAACTGCGATCTAGGACTCCAAATCATCGCTTAGGTGGTGTCCATGTGTCATAGTTCCAAGATGCCATGTGTCACGATGTGACTGGAGGGCCAAATCCGCCCTCATCAATTTCCCCCCACTCCTAAGCTGAGGGCAGCTCGGCGAAGGGAGTAGATCGTTCCTTTTCGCCCGAAATGACTATTTAATGAGGTCGTAGTCTTAAGCGTCGGTCCAATTTGCTTATCGGGTCGAAAGAGTTCAAGTGTTTGCGGCCTTACGCAAGACCTCGCGTCTTGATTTTCGGGGCACGAGAGCAGACTCATCCGCTCGAGGAGAGGTGAAGCAAGTACCCCGAGGACATCTACTTTATTAGGGATGCAACCATTAAGGGGTTTTGCAATCCGACCTATTACCTCAAGAGCGGATCTCCTCATGTCGTCCTCAAGAAGGGGTTCTAACCGCATGATTGCTTTATTAGGTCATTCCACCTAGGTAGATTTCGACGCAGTGTCACTCGAACTGGTTCTCAAAAGAGTAGCTAGGGAGTTCAACGCAGAGCCTGAAACCGAAGTGAAGAGATCAGCCTAGTTTGCATCCGCCATGGTGCTGAGAGTGAACTAGTATTTCCTTTGTTCTCTTTCTCGTGCTTAATGCGAACTGCTTTTTATTTCGCCCATGCAAAAGAGATGACTGGGTCTTATGTGGTGCCGAGGTCTTTTATCAATTCGGAACCTTAGCCCTTAGGCTCTGGGAGCGACTCACGATCCACTCTCCTTATCCTTGATCTTGCCCATGCCAAATAGGCGACTGGGTCTCATGTGGTGCCGAGGTCTTTTATAAGCTCGGCACTTTAGCCCTTAGGCTCTGGGAGCGACTTGTAGTCCACTCTCTTTATCCTTGATCTTGCCCATGCCGAAGAGGCAACTGGGTCTCATGTGGTGTTGAGGTCTTTTATCAGCTCGACACCTTAGCCCTTAGGCTCTGGGAGCGACTTGCAATCCACTCTCCTTAACATTATTTAGCCGACGTGCGGCCTAACCTTTCTGCCTAAACAGGTGGTCATTCTATAGTAACTTCTCATATGACTACTTCTACGTCATCCCATGGGATTATCTTTCTGGGCAAGTGCTTGCGAAACTGTTTTATACGTGTTCTGCCCCCCCCCCCCTGCGAGGGTTGTTGATACATAATGTTGTTGTCGATGTGAGTTGACAGTTCAGGGCCACGACTGCACTACATCAGCCTCGTTGTGACACCGGTCATCCATTCCTACAAGAGGCCACTGGGAGCTCAACCTACGGGGGCAGCACTATTGACTCTAGGTCACCAACTCGCACGGGAGCCTTAGAGGGCTCGACCTACAAGGGCGTCCATGCAATCCGCTTGCCGCCGACTACCGCAAGAGCTACGAAGGGCTTGACCTATAGAAGCGACCTCGTGAAACTAAGCTGTTGAGGCTTCATCCGGGCTTACTGTTGTTGAGTATAAACATAGAATGAGTTGAGGTCAGTGGGGATTCTTTACAGTCTATTGGCTGTCAAACCTGCGGGAACCATGGAGGGCTCGACCTGTGGAGGCGGCCTCACTTCGAGGTGCTTGTCGCTAGACTGTTGGTTGTCGAAGTTGTTATATTGCTATTTACATCGGGCTTCTCCCATGCTCAGATTTGGAAATTCATGCTTCATCTCATAGAACTGCCACGCTTCAATCTCGACGGGAACCGCTAATGGCTCTACCGCAGGGAGAGGGGCGTTCACATGCCGTAGCGGTGTGTTTACCTAAGATACTGGGAGTGCTGAGTTCGGCGTGGTTGCTATTGATTGTAATAGGGGGTTCTCAAGGTTCATCATGGATGCCCTTGCCCCCCAGTAATTGATTATTGGTTCATGATGTTGGTACTGCTTAAAAATGCCTTTGACTTCATAAAAAATGGAAATTAGATAGAGAACTTAAATTTTTAAAAGGTGAGATCTTAACTTTCTAGAAGATGAGGACTTAGCTTTCTAGAAGGTGGGAACTTAGCTTTTTGTAGCGTATTCCCACAAACGGCGCCAATTGATGGTGCACGAATTGGATGCTCCCTTCTGCAAGATGACTTGGAGATTCGCTGTGTGACGAGTTGGTTGCCCTACAAAACAGTGAGCTCAGAGAATCCGGGGTGGCTAACCCATCGAGGTCACTCTGATGCTTAAGTTAGTATTCTTGCAGTCGATTGCGAACTTAAATGAGCTAGAGTGCTAGTGTGCAGATGATATTATGTGTACCTGCCCGTGTCATTTGGGTTGGTGCCTTTATATAGGCTTTGTTTGGCGTGGGATTCACGCACTACATCGGAGATTTTTGGGAGGTCGCCTAACTGGTTCGAGATCCCCGGAGGTAATCGCCATGCACATTGACCATCCTTCGGAACACTTAGTACGTGGGCCAACTTCCGAGAAACTTGGGAGTGTCGGGATATGCATATCGAATTTGTTGGCAAGCACAACTCACAGGTCGCCTCCTGGACCTCAGTCAAGTCGGAAAGCCCTCGAGGGAGGTCACTCCTCGCGTCAAGGTCACATCAGCCAGTAACGAGGTGCTACAGGTCGGCCCTAGACGAGGTGCTCCTAGCCGACCTAAGTTGTGGTCGAAGTCGCTAGGTCGGAGCCAAGACAAACTGCGATCTAGGACTCCAAATCATCGCTTAGGTGGTGCCCATGTGTCATCCATCTGTTCCAAGATGCCATGTATCACGATGTGACTGGAGGGCCAAACCCGCCCTCATTAGAAGTGTTGTTGGGAAGCATTAGCAATCAAAGAAAATTTATTAAAAAGGAAAGTAACAGATTATGGGGTATGTCCAATATGTCAGGTTGATTTAGAATCAACCATCCATGCTCTCTTCTTCCTATGTCACCATGTGAAGGCCACATGGTTTGCAAGTCCGCTAAGTTTAAATTGTTCATCTTTCAGCTTTTTTCAGAGACTTCAAATCTTGGTTTCTTTACTGGGTTGATGAGTGTAACAAATGGGGGGATAGGAAGATCGAAAATCTGATTCTGTTTTTCTACTTAATGTTTGGCAAATTTGGAGAAATAGAAATATAATGGTTTCATTTTTAATAATGAACCTCCTAATCCTTGTAGATTTGTTGATGTGGCTTGCAGGATAGTGAGGCAGAAGAGCCAAATTTTCCAACAAGACTAGCAGCTTTCTTCCCAAACAATTGATTGAAGAAGTCTCAAAGTTTTTTTTGTCTCCCCCAAAGATTGGTGTGCTTAAAGTGAACACATATTGGAGTTTTTTAAATCAAGGCATGGCAGGTTATGGAGTGGTGATCAAAGATCATTTTGGGAAGATAATAGCAGTGAAATTTGGAAAATCCTCAGTCTCATCTCCAATTCAGGCTGAAGCGGTCGCAGTTAAAAAAAGTTTGGAGGTGTTGCATTAGCTTCATAATCAAAAAGCAATTATCGAAAGTGAATGCACAAACTTAGTCAGGGCCATTGTCCAGAATGAATGTGATGTGGCCAGAGATATTGTCTTTTTGTGCAAGG